AATCGAACTTAGGACCTTGCACTTGCCAGGCAGGTGCTTATGCTGCTGAGCTATCTCCCTGGCCCAAAATAAAATGTTTTAAAAAGCACTCAGATGGAGCTCAGTCAGAAAGCCCAGGGTTCAATCCCCAGTACCTGAAAGAAAAAAAAAAAAAAGAACACACCCTCCAGCCACTGCACAGCCACCCCCAGGGACAAGAGGAACCTACAGTATTTCCCCAGCAGGAAACAGGGTGTGTAACTCTGCAGGTGTGGCACCCTGGGGGGACCAGCAACTCCCAGCACCCAAGACAGAGGGACAGCCAGGACAGGGCAGTAATGAGGAAATGGCTGCTAGAGCCCGCAAGGACAGGAGGACATCCCACATTTCCACACCTCGTGTCTACACCTGCCTTTCAGAGCTAAACGGGCCTGGAGGGCCAACACCTGTCTTCCCAGCACACTAAGAGCCTGAGGCAGAAGGATCTCAAGTTCCAGCCCAGCCTGGGCCACTTCGTGATTTAACAAGACCCTGTCTTGGTATCAACCAAGTAGTAACAAACCTACCAATAAAACACTCACAGTAATAAAGAGAATGTGATGAAACCACATGAAAGTAATGGTAAGGAGACTAAAATAAGACATTTAGGAGAGTCGCCAAAAACCACTAAGAAGGAGCTGGGTGTGGTGGCCTACACCTGTAACCTCAGCAATCAATCGAGAGGCTGAGGCAGGAGGATTGCCACAAACTCAAGGTTAGCCTGGACCACATAGTTCAAGGCCAGCCTGAACCACATAGTGAGACTCTGTCTCAAAAAAAAAAAAAAGGACTAAGAGGCCAGGAGGCTGAGTCAGGAGCATCGAAGTGAGTTTAAGGCCAGCATGAAGACCCTGTCTCCAAAAAAAAAAAAAAAAAAGAAAGAAAAAAAGAAAGAAAGAAAGACTAAGAATGGATGTTCCCAGCTGGGCACAGTAGCACATACTTGTCATACCAGCACTGGGAGGAGGCTGAGGCAGGAGGACTGCAAGTTTGAGCCCCGCCTGGGTAATTTAGTGATTGAGACCCTATCTCAAAAAATTCAGTTCGGGGACATAGCTCAGGGATATAGCTCAGCAGCACAGTGCCTGCCTGGCAAGCATGAAGTCGTGAGTTCAATTACTGGTACCAAAAAAAAATCAATTCAACTCAATCAATTAAAAAGAGGTGGCTCCAGGCATGGTGATGCAAGCCTGTAATCCCAGCTCTTGGGAGGCTGAGGTAGAAGGACTGCTGTGAGTTCGAGGCCAGCCTGGACTACATAGTGAGTGCCAGGCCAGCCTGCACTACTACACAGTGAGACCCTGTCTCAAAAAGAAGGGGTTAGGATGGGGACGGAAATCAGTGTGAAGACCCTGGGTTCTATCCCCAGTATGGAAAAAATAAAAAATAAAAACGGATGTTCCCGTCCCCTGGACACCCAAGAGCCGGGTCCCTGGTTCCAGCTACTCAAAAGCAGCCACCAATGAAATCCCATTTTACAAATAGGGAACTAAGGCACAAGGCTCAATAACTGGCCTAGATCCTACAGACTCCTCTGTAGGACCCCAGAGCCGGACGTGATGGTGCACGTCTGTAATCCTAGCACTTGGTTTTGTTTTGGTTTTTGGTTTTTTTTTTCTGGTACCATGAATCGAACTCACGACCTTGCGCTTGCCAGGCAGGCGCTGTGCCGCTGAGCTAAATCCCAAGCCCCCAATTCTAGCACTTGAGATGCTGAGGCAGGAGGATTGCTGTTGAGTTTGAGGCCAGTCTGGACTACAACATGAGTTCAAGACCAGCCTGAATTGCACAGAGAGATCCTGTCTCAAAAAACAAAACAAAAGAAGAAATGGACCCTACAGCGACTCCTCGTCCCCCACACGTGTCATCTCCGAGCACACTGGAGGCCCCACGCCTCCCCCCTGGGCCCCGATTCGGTCCACTTGGGTCAGTGCGGCTCTCGAGGCGGCGCGGAGGTGAAGACGCCTCCCCACTAAATCTGGCATCGCACCCAAAGAGCAAGCGGGGCGCCGCTACCAGGACGCAGGAGCGGCCGCTCCCAGCATCCGTGGGGTGCAGGGGACCAAGCCAAGCGAGCCCGGGGCCGCAAGGCCAGGGCAGGGGCAGCCTGGGGGTTGCCCACCGTCCCGGGGTACAGACGCAGGCGCAGACGCAGGGGGCACAGACGGCCACGGAGCCTGGGAAAGCAAAACCCTCCCTGGGGCATTCCCGGGGGGTTCCCGGGAGCCAGGAGGACGCCCCCAAGTCTGCGGGCGCACGGAGGAGGAGAGGCGGAGATGGGAACCCGGGGGGGGAGGAAGGGGAAGAGAAGAAAGAGGGGAGCCGGAGCCCGGGAAGGGAGGAGGGAGATGGGGCCCGGAGCCCTGGAGGAGGAGGGAGGAAGCCCGCGCCACCCGCCCGTCGCCGCGCTCACAGCCTCCGCCG